CATCTGGCACTTATTAGTAATATGAGAAAGGGACTGTAACAGCAATATTGGTGATTATTAAAATAAAAGAATGAGCCAGCACAACGGTTCAAAAGGTTAATCCTCCACCTCCAAGTGTGGTATCCTTTGTGGGCACTGGCTCATATCCTGGCTGCTCCACTATCCATTCAGCTACCTGCTTATGGCCTAGGAAAGCAGTAAAAGATGTCCCAAAGTCTTGGGAGACTTGGAAGAAGCTCCTGGCTCCTGGCTTTGAATCAGCTCAGCTCCAGTCATTGAGGCTATTTGGGGAGTGAACCAGCAGGTGGAATATCTTTCTCTCTTTCTCTCCTCCCTGTAAATCTGACTTTCCAATAAAGATAAATAAATCTTGAAAATAAAAGAGTGTACCATACAACTTTAGCAATACATACAGAGAGGAGGAGAGACAGAGAGGAAGATTTTTCCATCCGATGATTCACTCCCCAAGTGAGCCACAACAGCTGGTGCTGCACCGATCCAAAGCCAGAAGCCAGGAGCCAGGAACTTTCTCCAGGTCCCTCATGTGGGGGCAGGGTCAAAATGCTTTGGGCCATTCTCGACTGCTTTCCCAGACTACAAACAGGGAGCTGGATGGGAAGTGGAACTGCTGGGATTAGAACCAGGTGCGTTCAAGAAAAGGACTTCAGCCACTAGGCCACTGTGCCAGGCCCCCTAGACACCAGTTCTAAACTCAGCAGCTCACTTCTGATGCAGCTCCTTGCTAATACGCTTAGGAAAGCAGTACAGGATGTCTCAAGTGTTTGGGACTCTGCTCTTACATGGGAGGCCTGGAGGAAGCTCTGAGCTCCTGACTTTGGTCTGGCAGAGTTGGCTGTTGTGGCCATTTGGGTGTGTAAATGAGCAGATGAAAGTTCCCTCTTGCTCTGTTTCCATCTCCCTACAATCATGTAATGATCCTAGCTGAACCAGCAATGTTGTAAGACTTGCCGAGCTAGATGCATAAGCTTTCACATGCTCTGACCGCTACTGTCATTGCTGTATTTTACCACCAGAGGACAGCCAGTTTAAGAAGCTATGAAAGAATTTTAAAAAGTTCAGAGAAGCCAAGAAACTTAATGGATTTCAGCCTAGCAGTTAAGAATATCAGATCTGTTACCCAGCCCTAGCTCCTGAATCCAGCTTTTTACTAAGGCAGATTGTGTGACAAAGTAATGATCAGTGAAGTAAACAGGTTCCTGCCACCCATGTGTAAGACTTGGACTGAGTTCCTGGCTCCCAGCTCCCACTTGGCCAAGCCCAAATCATTGAGGGCATTTGGAGAACAAACCAGCAGATGAGACCACTCTGTCTCACTCACTCTTGGCCTCTAAAAAAACTTAAAATTAAAGCACAACAGTAACTAACCTCTAAGAGAGAGAGAGCGAGAGAAAGGAATTTGATCCAGTTTGAAGTCAGTTTCCCTTAGTCTGTCCCACTACATCTGCCAATAAACTCTCCTCTGTGAAAGCCTGTTTAACTCGGGCAACCAATCAGCAATTAAAAGAGAACATCTCCTCTTTTCACTCATTATTCAGCTACACCTGCCTCCTCACTAGTACCAGAATACAGTGTCTTTCCCTACGCTGTTCCGCTATGCAATTTGGAATGCTTTTTCCTCTGCCAGAAATTTCCTTTCCTTCATTCTTTGGTTATTAAGATGCACTTCATATTTCAAGGCTGAGCTCAAATGTGTCAATGGAACAGCCTAAAATTGGAGAAACAAGCAGACAGCCTGATTATGGAGATTCTCACAGATGCTCTGGCTTTCTCAAAGTAAACCTATGGGTAAAGAAATCTCACTGAAGGATTTTAAAGCATAAATGGCATGACTGAATCTACAAAAACTAAAATATAACCTTGGGTACTGTGCAAAAAAGAATTATAGAAGGTCAAGGGAGACAATGATTTGTAAATTAGTAAAATAATCTAGGCAAGGGTGACTGCCACAGACATTGGGACCCACTGGGAATGTCCACATCCCATGTCCTAGGGGCTACATTTAGGAACCAGCAACGCTTCCAACTTCAGTTTCCCGCTACTGCATTCCCAGGGAGGTAGCCGAGAGTGGCTCAAGGCTTCACTCACCTGCGAGTCCTTTATTAAATTCCCAGCTTCACTGTTGGTGTTTAGAGAGTGAACCAACAGATGGAAGCTTTCTGTCTCAGCTTCTCAAACAGTGATTTAAAAAAAAAAAAAGCCTGGCTATAAAAGAACTGAGAAATACTAGTCTTAAGAGAGGGTAGACAAGAAAAGCATTTTTCCTTCGATTTGGAGCTTTTGTTTACAAAGGCTGATTTTAAGCTTGTCTAAAGGTTGATTGGAGGAACCTAAAAATTGACAAAGAGAAAAGATAAAGGTGTAGTCCAAAAAAAAAAAAAAAAGCAAAGTCTTTGAAATGGAGCACACATTTGAATTGAGGCAGCAATATCTATTCCTCTGATACAGAAAATTAAGAGGATATTTCCCCTAGAATTGAGGCCACATTATAAATAGTAGGAGATAAGATACATTGGCTCGAGGTAGATCTTCAAGGCCAAGCCAAATAATCTGAGATTAGAATGCTGAATGAGGAAATTAATAAGGTCACTTAAACATGAAATTATTGACTCCAAGACACTACTCATTCACCAAACTACTATTATAAGAAAAATTTGGGTACTATGAGTCATTTTTTCCTCTCCTTAGGATTTATTTCTTTGAGAGGCAGAGTTACAGAAAGGGAAAGGAAGAGATCTTTCACCTCCTGGTTCACTCATCAAACGGCCACAGCACTTGAGGCTGGACTAGGCCAAAGCCAGGAGCAAGGAACTCTGTCCGTGTTTCCCATGTGAGATGCAGGAGCAGCTGGATCATGAACCAGCGTTCTGAAATGGGATTAGGTATCCCAGGAAAGTGCCTTAACCCTCTGCACCACAATGCCAGCCCGGTACTCCGAGTATTGATTACAACTCTTGCCTCTGATATGATTATTGGTAATATTATGAATTATATTGAATTCAGTATTTTGAGAAACTTTATTTATTTATTTATATATTTATTTATTTACATTTGAAAGGCAGAGGGACATACACAGAGAACTCCTATCCACTGGTTCACTTCTCAAACAACTGCTCTGGCTGGGCCAGACAAAAGCAAGGAACCTGATCCAGGGCTCCCACGTTGGGGGCAGGGACCAACTATTTAGGTCATCATCTGCTGCCTCCCAGGTACTTCCTGCACTAACAGGAAGCTGAAACTAGGGCCAGGAGCCAGCATTATGGCAGTGTAGGTTAAACCATCACCCTCAACATTGGTATCCTATAAGTGCCCTAATTCCAGTCACAGCCGCTCCATTTCCAAAGTCAACTTCCTGTTAATGTGCCTGGGAAAGTAGTAGAATACAACCCAGTGCCTGGGACCCCTGCTCCCATGTGGCACACCAGAACAAAGCCACTGACTCCTGCCTTTGGTCTGGCCCAGCCCTGGTTTTTTAGGTTATTTGAGGAATGGAACAATAGATGGATGCCCGTCTATCCCTCTCTCTCCTCCTCCAACTTTTGTTTCAAATAAATAAATAAATCTCAAAAGAAAGAAGAAATTGAGAACAGAGCCAGGACTTCAACCCAGTAACTCCAGCACGGGAGGTGGGTGTCATAACCCCTGGGCCAATGCCCACTCCTAAATCCAACTTGACATTTTCAGTCTTCATCTTATTCATCCTATCAACAGTACTTTGAAGTAAGCAAAACACTGTTACGAAGCCACTGTCATTACTGGCCTTGATAAATGCAATAGCCTTCTAACTCATCCGTTCAATTCTTATCTATCTCCACTCCGCCAACTGTTTATTCTCAGAGCCACAACCAAAAAAAATTTTTTTTAATCAGATCACATCACGTCTGTTATGACCCTGTAATTATTCTATTCCCACCTCGCTGAGTAAAAGCTCACAACTTGGTAACTGCTTGCAGAGCTCCCCTCCGTCTGGCCTCTATGGCAACCCTGACCTCATCCCTACGACCCTGGCCTCCGTGTGCTCCGTTCATTCCTGCTCTGCAGTCCCTCCCGAAGGCCAAGCACCCTCCCGGCTCGTCACACCTGTGCCCCACGCAGCTCTTCCTGCCAGCCCGTCCCCTCCCTGTGCTTTCCCCTAGGTGAACATCCTACCACACCCCCGTTCACTTCTCTGTTCTGTTTTGCTCCACAGCCCCGAAAATTCTCTCTATTTTGCCTCCCTCCGCTTCTGAGGAGGACAGGACGTTCCGCCGGCTTCGCTTAGGGGTCCTGCAGGTGCCAGGCCCCCCCAGTCCGTCCCCGCACCGAAAGCTTTCACTCTTCCCAAAGGGTCCAAGGACCGGCCCCAGCCTGCTCTACCAAGGGGTTCTAAATCGACCCAGGATGGCTTTCCGCGCACTAATCCTAGAAGGACTGTACTCTGCCTAGAAAGAGAAGCTGTACTTTGTCTTGTCCACCACAAGGAGGAGTTGAGAGGAAGCGCTAAGAGAAACCAGACATTTCTTTCCGTTGCTTTTCCCGCAGTAACCTCAAGGTGGAAGAAAACTGCATTCGGGGCCGATACTGAATGAATGATTTTTTTTTTCTGCTTACTACGAGTCACCTAGGCACACACAAGCGTAAACGTTCATGGGCGCTAGCCTTTCGAGGGCCACAAAAAGGCTAGCGACTCCATCCACAGGCCACACTAAAGAAGCGAGAGGGCGTTTCTGTAACTCCGCCACCAATTCCTCCCCAAAATGCAGGCGCAGAGCTCCAGGAGGGCAGACAGCCACCTAGGCGAACAACGAGGGCCCAGGTGCTCCCGTTCATCGGCACCCCTCTGACTGGAGGACGACCAAGTTCGTACTGTTTAAGACCTAGAGCATCCTTACTGCTCTGGACCGGCACAAGCAACGCGCTCGCTGGTCTCAATTCTCAGATTCGGCCGATCGCACCTAATTCATCGAACACCGGAACCCACTGCCCGCGGGCCGCCCACTCACCTCCACCTGTTGATGCCCACGTTGGAGGAGCCGGCGAACCAGGGGTCGAGGATGTAGACGCAGCGGATGGTGTCGGCGCCCTGAATGCACTCCTTCAGGGCGGGGTTGTCGTGCAGCCGGAGCCCCTTGCGGAACCAGTGCACGGCGTTCACCCCCATGCCCGGGCCCGGAGGGCGGCGCGCGGCCGCCGACTTCCTCCACCCAGCAATTCAAGGGAAGGGAGTCCGGTTCATAACCGACACCTTCGCTTCTAAGGGAGAACCGCCGCACACGAGGGGTGGGGACCGGGCGGCAAGAGGGGGGACAGGAGTCCGAGGAGGGGACCCGAGAGGGAGAGGGCGCTGGAGGCGCAGCAGGACGATCGATCAATGGAGGTTGCCCGGTCGGCGGAGCCTGGGTGTGACGCCCTTTTAGGAGCCGGCGTCCGCTGCAAGCACCCGGAGGACACGCATAACTTCGTGGGCCTCGGACCCCCCGCAGCGTGAGAAAATTCCAGAAGCTCCAGCCGCCACCACGGCCCGAGCCGGCCCCCACGACAGCCCCAGGAGGTTCGTCACGGAAACCTCGCCCCGCCGAGGCGGCCGCTCGGGAGGGAAAACGACCCGCCTGAGGTGAGTCACCGAGAAGCACGAGAAGGGGGACTCAGCCCCTGTCGGTGACGCGGCCTGTCGGCCCCAGAGAGAGCGAGCGAGCGAGTGAGGGTGAGGGCCGATGACGGAGGGCGAAGGCGGGGGTCGAGGCCGCTGGACGGCTGCCGGCCGGTGACCGGTCCCGAGGCTGCCCGGGTGACTCCGCCACCACCGCGCCGCGTCAGCGGCCCCGGCCCGGCCCCCCGGCTTCTCATTGGAGGGTGCGTTCCCCACGTGAGCACCGGCACCTCACGTTTCTGAAGTGTGTTTACTACACTAGGGCTGGCTGGGGAGTCGGCTCGCACTTGAGACGCTCCCGGAGTGGCAGCGGTCCCTCGACCCCAAAGCTGTCACCCCTAAACCAAACCACGGGCTCCCAGCCCCTGCACCCGGTCCCCAGACCGAGTGGTTTACAGCCTTCTGGAAGCTCCCGAGGCCGCCACAGGCCCCATGTGACGGGAGGCTCGACCCCGCCTCCGGGGGCCGTGAAAGGCCACCATTGGCTGAGGCTTGCTGAGACCCGGATGAGCACGGGGCTGCGGGGAGCTCGCGGGCGCGCGCGCTCCTCTGGAAGGTGCGCGTGCGCCCTCGCCGCGTTCCAGAGGGGCGGAGGGCAGAGCCGGCGAGCGGGGGCGCGCTCGGGTGCTGCTGTATGGGGTCGGTGGGATTGAGGAGAGTTGGCTGTCGTCCTCCGAGAGTTAACGTGGTTGCGAAAAGGGATGCCGAATGGAGTGGAGGTGGGAAGGTGACTGGATGGAAGGAGTGCTGACTCCGCGTAGGTTTTAAGCCCAAACCCATGTGCTTGGATCCAGCTTTAGGCGGGGAACACAAGGCATGTGCCCAGTGGGCACCCCCACCATTTTTCCGGCCCTCCATCGCAGCGTGTTTGCACGTGGCTCTGAAGCCGCGTGTTGACTGACAGATGCTGTGGGCATCCTGGGGGTGAAGCAGCAGATGGGACATCTCTGCCTTCAAGTAAAAATCTTAAAATGAGGTACACATATTGTGACGCAGCAGGTTAAACCTCTGCCTGGGACTCCCACGCCCTATTGTAGGGGTGCAAATTCAAGTCCCAGCTAATTGGCTCCCTGCTAATGCACTTAGGAAAAGAGTGAACTGTGGCACAAAGACTTGGACCCCTGCCATCCATGTGAGCGATCTAGATGAAGTCCCTGGCTCTCAGCTTCCACCTGATCAATGAGCCCATGAATGCAAAATCTTTCTGTCTCTTCCTTTTTATCACTCTGGCATTAAAATAAATCTTTTTACAAAATGTAATGCAGCCTTTTCTGTTCATTTTGGTGGTTTGAGAGTATTCAGATTGTGTCTAAAGACACAGGATTTGTTTCATGCATCCAAATGAAATGATGGGAGGTAGAGATTATTGATTGATGTTGAGTTAACTTATGGTCATTCAGTGAAGATGGATTTTTTTGACAGCTGTGTGTGGGTGTGTGCGGAGCTTCCATGTAAGCACAGAAGTTCTAATTTATGATGAAAGCGTTAGTTCTGTTGACCGCCTTTCTCAAATACCCAAGAGTTCATATAGAACATAGATGATAACTTTAGCATATCTGCATTTAGAGGAAGATTATTATTTAATGGCCACAATTTGCAGAGTACCTATTATGCACTGTATTCTTTCTATGGATCATTATTTTTTTAAGATTCATTTATTTTTATTTTATTTCCATTTTTATTGGAAAGGCAGATTTACATAGAGAAGGACAGAGAGAGAGGAAGATCTTCTGTCCAATGGTTCACTCCACAAATGGCTGCAATGGCCAGAGCTGAGCCGAAGCAAGGAGCCAGGAGCTTCTTCCAGATCTACACAGGTACATAGTCCCACGGCTTTGCGCCATCCTCCACTGCTTTCCCAGGCCACAAGCAGGGAGCTGGATGGGAAGTGGAGCAGTGGGATCCTGGTGCATGCAAAGCGAGGATTTAACCACTAGGCTGTTGTATTAAGCCAATGGATTATTATTAGTCTGCTCTGGCCAACAGAGCCAGCTACATGGACAAGAAGAGGGTCTGGGGATGAAGCACTGACAGGAGACCAGTGATGGTAGAAGTCTCTCTGAAGCCTCCCTTTATTACTCTTTTATACTCTTTCCGCCAAGTCCTTTAGCCAAATAGGATGCCACTGAGTCCAGTTAGTCCAGGTGCTTTTAGACACAAACCCGTTTCCTGTTACTGCTCAGCTTAACGAGCACAAATTAACTCCTTAGCCCACAACGTTAATCTGCTTCATTTTATGCAGTTTGTCTTTATTTCATAAGTATTATTTAAAAGTATCTATGTCCACCTTGCTAATGAAGAAACTAAAATTCACAAGCACAAATAAATAGTAAAATCAGATGAAAATCCAAGATTACTTCTGAATCAAAAACCCTTTCCCTAACATGTCCCTTGTGGATATGCCCTCTTCTTTACTGAATGAATATTACATATCAAGGGAGAAGGAAGGGATGGGAAGCATGATCAGGAATTGCTTGTGAAATTTTTTCTTGCTCTATCATCATGGTGGGAGTAGAAAGAATATGGGACTATAATGAAGATACTAGGTCATGACTCACTAATAATTAGTTCGCGATCTTGACCAAGCCATCTGCTCTTCTTGGTCTGACTAAATTTCTGTGTAAAATGAGGAACTGAGCCAGGTGATTTCCAATTTTCCCATGTTACTTTACATTTTTGCAAATATGTGGGGCCAATGTGAACACTCAACTGATTAAACTGCCACCTGGAAGTGCCAGCATGTCATGTAGGTGCTGGCTCCTGTTCCAACTGCTCCACTTCCCATCCAGCTTATGGCCTGGAGAAGGCAGAGGAGGATGGACCAAAGCCTCGGGACTCTATCCATTCATGGTAAACCTGAATGGGGATCCTGGCTCCTAGCTTTGGATGGACTCAACTCCAGCCATGGTGGATATTTGAGGAGGAAACCATTGGATGGAAGATTTTTTTGTCTCTCCCTCTCTCTGTAAATTTGATCGGCCTTTCCAATAAAAAGAAATAAATCTTTTAAATTTTCTGCAAATATAGTTTTACCTGGGGATCAAAAATATCAAAGAGGAGTCCTGTTAAAAACATTCTTTGAACTGCCAACAGTCGATATCTCTATGATTTCATGAGAACCCTTGATAAAAGTATCTCAACCTCTAAATTGAAAACTAGTGTTCTTTCTTGATCCCATCTCATAGATGTGATTTCTGATACATGTTAACACACAAATAATGGGATAGTTAGCCCAGTGAATTCATTCTGATATACAGAAATATTGAGTGAGTGCCCCAAACTGGAGTCTTTAGAGTATTGAATTTAAATGTGTTAAAGAATAGTTATTTTTAAAATAAAGGCCTTCAAAAAGTTCATAGAAATTATGCATTATGAAAAAAGAAACTAAATGGATTCCAGAATGGTTTTGTACCAAAATCAATGGTAAAAAATGGTAAGTTAGTTATGTGTCAAAGATTTTACTTTGACATCTTCGACATTTTATAATGGGTGAAGGAATAGTTACATATTTAAATCATGTTATGGCTTGGATTTTTAAAAATTTTTAACTTATTTAAAAGGTATAGGAACACAGAGAGGGAGATACACAGAGAGGTCTTCCATTTGCTAGTTTACTCAATAGCTGAGGCTAGACTAGGGCAAAGCCGGGGTCTAGAACTTCATCTGGTCTTCTATGCAGACGGAAAGAGCCCAGTTACTTAGGCCATCTTCCACTGCTTCCCTGAGTACATTCACAGGGAACTAGATCAGAAACAGAGCAGCTGTGACTTGAACCAGTGTTTTAGTATGGGATATGGCACCACAAGCAGTGTGCCCAAAGCTAGCCCAGCTTGAATATGCATTGGGATTGTCCAAATTCAGATTATAATTTGGTCCCTAGTGGAAAAGTGTTGAGAGATTGTATGTCACTTAAGGGGATTTCATTCTGAGGAAGGGACTAATGAGGTTCTTGCAAGATTGGGCTGTCTCAACCTGACTGTGATAAAACAAACGTATGCTTTTGTCTCTTCCTCATATGGTGTTCATATGTGCTTCCCTGTGCTATCATCTGCCATGTTATGGCATAGCATAAAGCCCTCAACAGGTACAGCCACCCAACCCTGAATTCCCCCATCCTTCAGAGCCCTGAGCCATATAAACCCACTTTCTTTGTAAATTGCCAGTTTTAGGTATTTTGTTACAACAGAGAAAATCAGATGAAGACTGAAGATTGATACTGCGAAATAGAGTGTTGCTGAAAGAATGCTTAAAAATATAGAAGTGGATTTAAAACTGAATGATGACAGAGGCAGGAAAAGCTTGGAGGGGCAGGTTAAAAATGAAAGTGTAGAATTTTGTGGTGGGCTGGGCATTTGTCCTGGTGGTTAAAGTGCTTGCATCCCATGTCAGAGTACTTGGGTTCTTAACTCCAGCATTCTGTGTATGTGACCCCTGGGGCAGAAGGTGGGTGAATACTTAAGTAGTCTGGGAGTGAGTTCCAGCTCCTGTCTTTGGCCTGTCCCAACGCCGGATGTTACAGACATTAGGGGATGAATTGTGCATGGCTATTCTGAGTCTACCTCTGGGAGGAAGGGAGAAAGCGAGTGAGGGATGGAAGGAGGATGGAAGAGAGGGCGGCAGGAAGACCTAAAATGTCGTAAATATGGCACTAGGTGATCATTCTGGTGAAAAGTTCAGAAGCCCAGAAACTCAGCAAAGTCTGAAGCTTATTCCTTACTTAAGTGGTCCAGATCAGTATTTTGTTTGTGTAAGATTTATTTATTTTTTATTAGAAAGGCAGATTTAGAGAAGGAGAGAAAAAGAGATCTTGCATCTGCTTACTCCTCAAGTGGCTGAAATGGCCAGAGCTGAGCCAGGAGCCAGGAGCTTCTTTAGGGTCTCCCACGCAGGTTACAGGGTCCCAAGGCTTTGTGCCATCCTCTACTACTTTCCCAGGCTACAAGCAGGGGGCTAGATGGGAAGAGGAGCAGCTGGGACATGAACTGGCACCCATATGGGATCCCAGTGCATACAAGGTGAGTACCTTAGCCACTAGGCCACTGCGCCAGGGCCCTGATCAGTATTTTGATAGAGCAATGAACCACAGAGGCCATGCTAATGAGATCTCAGGCGGAAATGAGAAATCATCCAGAGTTATCCTTTACTGTGGCAAAGAACTTGGCTG